TTTTTCTAGTGTGAATGATGAGAACTAATGTGGAGTTTTCATTAGAGCCTTTATTTAAAAAAAATTGTACTGAGTATTATATTCTTTTCAGAACGGAGGCAGTAGTTACTACCTTTATGATGCAATGATGCTTGGATCATGGTATATCTTGAACCATTCCCTGCCTGTATCTTTTGTGCACCTCTCGTTCGGACCAGGGGCTACACCTTCGGTGCAATCAACCATTAATCGAAAGTCTTTCGGCAGCTAAACCCTGAGCGGCCCAGCGTGCGGCACCACACCTTCAGCTACATCAACACTAGAGGGCCATGGGGCCACGGGCCACGAAGGGACACCCGTGTGCGAAGGCCCAGTGTGCGGGTTGCCGGCCCAGAATGGATTCGGGCCCCTGTAATGAACTGTCGCACGTGTTGTGTTTTCGCTCGGAATAGTAATCCTTCCTCGGTCCTACTGCCGTTCGTCACCTCGATCCCAAATTCTTCCCCTCAATCTCCACTGCCGCTTATGATCTCCAGAGATTCAACCGTAGCAAGATCAACGTGGCATCCTGGAAGGCCTTTCAGTTCGGTGGAATTCAGGATCCTAATTGCAGCCTTTCACAATATTCAGTCTCACTGGGTCCTCAATGCGCTCACCACACAAACTCGCAGTGGCCTTCCCAAGATTAAATAAAAAAATTTTTCTATTTTGATCTAATTTTAGAATTTCTGAAAATTCTTATCATCACCGGCTGACAACACGAACTGGTTGTGATAACTTTTCATCACCGGCGGATTCCAACCGGCGATAATGACCATAGTCATCACCGTCAACTTTCATTGCCGAGGATCAAAACCGTTGGTGAAGGCGGTCTAGAATCGGTGGTGATGAACTTTTTCGTAGCGGTGCAACTTCGGTAATTCATAGAGATACGGTCCCGTTCACATATTCTATTGACTAAAAAGACTGCTACATTTGAAATGTTGTATTATCAATGTTCGGATAGTTATGCAATATATTCATGAGACATATTATCCCAGTTATGCAATATACATGAGCCTTTTACCTGTGTGCCATTATGAAAGATGGTCCTGACTTACAGACCATTAAAAAGTTCGAACGCACCCTGATGTCATGACGCTAAACTTTCTTGCCTTCCATGCCATTCCATCCACTTTAGCCGCTAACGGTGTCAAATGGAGATGCGAAAAGTCAAAACTATCCTCTAGCTGTGGTATCTCACTAAAAGTTGTGTTTTCCTCCCATGCCACTCCTTGGTCCTGTGGCTTTGGCATTTGCCTAATAGTATCAACTTAGGGCTTAATTAGCCGCTAATCTGAAGCGCAAATGATCCTGACCCTTCAATGAAAGTTGTAGAGCTTGAGGAGAATGATAATTTTCTTGCAGGCAACCCAGACCGAATCTAAGTGAAATATGTCGTAAATGAGATTCCAAGATGTCTACTCGGGCGCCTGCCAGGTGCTCGGCAGAATGTCGCTTGGCCACGTGCATTCCCTGCTGCTGCTGGTGCCGCGTGCCCCTGCGCTAAGGATGCAAGTGGGGCGGCGGTGGGCAGCCCACCCCACGTTCGAATCAATTGCAAGTGTTATGTGAGCTGACGCGGCAGTCCATGTCTCGCCGCTCTCTATTTGTGTGTTGGAGCGGCTGCCCGCAAAGTGTCGTAAGCCCGCAAACCTCCTCCACCCTGCTACAGTGTCATAGTGCCAGTGCAGTGAATCAAACACAGTTGCTGCTCCTGATAACACCACGTTGGGTGATGGGTACCCCCACAAGCCGTGGCGGGCGTCGAAGCACTAGGTCTCCACCTTCGTGGACATGAAGATGGCGTGTCCGTCCGGGTGCATTGCGTAGGAGTCTAGGAGATGATCTCGATTCCATTGAGCAGCAATGGCACCGACAGGCTATGGCAGTTCCAGTTCCAGTTCCGGTTCCAGCGCCATTTCATGGACGGATCCCATGTAAGGATGAAAACGGAACGGAAATATCCCGAACCGAACCGCATCGTTTTCTATATTTAATCCGATCGAATCCGCATTTTTTTGTCCGACTTTACGTTGCATGGCATTTCAGATGTTTCGTATTTCAAATGTAAAAGTAGAAAACGGTTTAGATATTTTTCGACGGCCCGTTTTCACTTTTCTACTTTTAATTTGAAATATTCCGAATTGAAAATTCGGTTTAAACCAATTTAGCCTAACTGTCACGGCTCAACGAGTCCGTCATCTGACCCAATTACATGTTATTCACCACGACTCGTTCTTTACTCTTTGGTGCGGAGGTTGCGAAGTAACACCTCTTATAGACGGCGCCCCGAGCCTCATCTCTCTTCACCTCATGAGATGGTGCTAAATGTCGTGAAACCAAAGAAGATCTACACGAAAGCCACACCGGGCCATAGCCCATTAAACTCATCGGTTTAACCCCCACCGCAAAGTCAATCATTTGATAGTTTTTTGCATCAACCGAATAAATCTTTGTTACTCAAAAGAAAAATCTGAATAAATCTTTAAAATAAAATACTACATCTATTCTAAAAAGATTAATAAAATTATTCTCGACTCACGATTCGAGTTCATGTTTCTATTATATGCACTTGTTAATTATTATATGCACTTGAACTTGATCATGTATGCACTTAGTCATGCAGTTGGTCTCCAACTATGGGTCGGTATTTAGTATTGAGTTTTCATATATCGACCGTGTTCGGACATAAATCCGCTTGAATTGGTTCGTTTTTGAAATTCTTGATAATTCGTAAGTTCGCGTTCGTTTTCGTGTCCGGTTTTACCGTTTTCGTTTTCGTATTTCAAATGTAAAAGTAGAAAACAATTTAGGAGTTTTTCGACCGTTTCCGACCGTTTTCATCCTTAATCCCATGGCTCCACCTTGGTGCCGCTCCCACGCCCCATTCGAGTAGTCGCACCTTGGCGCCTCGATCTTTCTTGTTGCTCCACCGGAGGAGGCGAAGCACGGCCACGCCCGAGCCGCGCCAAATCCGCACGCCAAGGCCTGCCCCCAACCACGAGACCGCAGCCAGACCGACCCACGCCGCGACCATGCCACACACGCGGGAGGCACGGACTCCCCAACCCCATGGCGCAAGCACGGACTCTAGGCCGAGCTCAGGCCGCGACCGACTCTCTCCTATGCTCAGGCTCATCATGGCCACGGTCTCCTGCGCCCCGATCGAGGTCATCACGGATGCTATCCGCGCCGACGTTGGCGAGCTCCCACCCTTGGCGTTCCACTCCCTAGCCAGGCGCCTACTTCACGGGCTCAACGAGTCCGCCACCGTCCACGCCAGCACGAGGGGAACGACGGGGACGGTGACAGCGGGACGTGGAGGCGCTTGATGGTGGTGGGGCGGTCGGTGGGCGGGAGGTACGTGAGGAACACCGTCCTGAAGCCGCCGTCGCCAAGCTTACATGCCACGTCGACGCCCGCGGTGGCGGCGCACAGTTGCTCGTAGGTGAAGGACGGACGGTGGTGGTGGAGCCCATGCCACCGGAGGAACGCCGCCGAGGAAGATCCCACCACCGTCGCGGCGTGGCGACGTGAGCGCAAAGCGCGCGGAGCGGGCCGAACTCGGCCGCATGGAGCGCGATGGCGCGCAGGTAAGCGAGCAGCAGCGCGAGCGACGCGATGGTGGGAAGCGCCACCGTGCGAGAGGAGGAAGCGTTGGTGTGCTGTTGTCGTCTTCTTCTGCTCTCTGCTGCCGATTGCGGCGCGGGGGCTTGTGGATGTCGCCAGAGACGCGGCGCGGCGACGAGGGAGGAGAGCAAGAGGAGGGCGGAGGAGATGCGGTCGCATTTCAATTTAGCGGTGTGGCGGCGATCGAGCACCGCCAGCCGCCACGGGTGAGAAGAGGGAGGGAGATGTCCAATGCGCCGCGTCGTCAGCGAGCCAGCAGCAAGGACCCGGCCGCCTGCGCCAACGGGCCACGCCTGCCGCGGAGATCTCGGGGGGATCCATCGCGCATCGAGCCCACCTGATGCCGACTGACCGGCGACTACGACGTGCTTGCTGGCGGCATCAATGAAGCTCCGACCCACGCAAGACGGGCGAGCCTCGGCGGACGGTGTGGCTGAGATCCATCGCGGCGCCGCCATTTCAATGAACGCCGGGCCCGATGAGCGTGCGTGGGGCGGCCCTTGGTGGCGGTGACTCTGTTCCTTGACCGGCATGGCGTCTCCCTCCCTTTCGCTGGCGTGAACGTTCTGGTGTGTGATCGTGAGAGAGAGGACAAGGCTAGTAGAGAAGGGCATCTTGGACATCTTCACCGCTTGGACCCACATGTCAGAGCTACCAAATGGTGAAAAACGAACGGAAGGTAGACGGAATGGCGTGGAAGGCAAGAAATTTTAGCGTCATGGCACTAGGGTGCGTTTGAACTTTTTAGTGGCATACAGGGGAGTGTTCGGCTGGCATTAAATTTTCTACTGTAGCAGATGGAAAACACTGTTCATGCTGGAATTTGATGAGAGAAAAACACTACTCCGGCTGAAAAAAAAGGCCAGCCAGCCAGCCGAACAAGCCCTAGGTCAGGACCATCTCTCGTAATGGTACGCATGTAAAAGACTCAATATACATCTATGAACACCACGACTGAAGGATCAATTTTATCGAGAGGCTACATAAATCGGTGGAAGTGCACATTACAAATATTATGAATTGGTAAGTTTAGTTATACAACATTAGGAACGGACAGAGTATATATGCTAGCATTTCCAATGCGAGACGCTGATGGCTGGACCCCAGATAGCCGACGCCCGGTTCCATTGTCCGCAATGACCGTTGACCGTGCGCGCTTGATTACCTGCTCGGCGCGTACGCGTCTCGCGGCGGGTGGGAATTGGGGAAGAAAAATCCATGGGGACAGTCCACACGCGGGCAGTCCACGAGAACTCGATGTCACTATCATTTGTTAATGAAGTTTGACCAAACATGGTCGAGTGGAGCTGCTGAGCATTTGAGCAACACGGAGGGAAGGGAAGGGGTCCATGGCGGAAGGAGTTCTTGCCTCGAGCATCGTCCATGGGGTGCTGGCTAAGATCGGCTCCTCGATTTGGGCCGAGCTTGCGCTCCTGAGGAGCTTCAGGGCGGACCTGAGGGCCATGGAGCGCGACTTCACCACCGTCCGGGAAGTCCTCTCTGACGCCGAGGCGCGCGGCGGCAGCGGTGATGCAGGCGTCCGCGACTGGCTGCGCAGGCTCAGGGACGTCGCCCACGACATCGATGACCTCCTCGATGAGTGCCGCACAGATCTCTGCGTCTCCGAGCGGCGGAAGAGCACTGCGTGCGGCCCCGTCACCAACCCCTGCTTTCCCGCTCCTTCGCCATGGCCCGCAGCCTGAAGTCATTGAGGCGCAGGCTGGAATCCATCGCCGCTGGAAGAGACAGACTGCGCCTGAACCCCGGCATCCAACCGCCAGGACACCCATCCGCTCCTCCCCGTCGCGAGACGATCTCCAAGGTCGATGAGTCCAAGACGATTGGGCGGGCCGGGGACAAGGAGAAGCTCATGCGGCTGGTCCTCGATGCCACCAGCGACGAGGACGTGTCCGTGATCCCCATCTTCGGCTTTGGCGGACTCGGCAAGACCACGCTCGCGCAGTTGGTGTTCAACGACCGTCGCGCCAACGACGAGGTGTTCGACCCCCGGATCTGGGTCTCCATGTCCGGCGACTCCAGCCTCCGGACGCTGGTCCAGCCGATCGTGAGCGCGACCAAGGAGAAGTGCGACCTTGACAACCTCGACGCCGTCTCGAGCTTCCTGTCGCGGACGTTCACGGGGAAGAAGTATCTGCTCGTTCTCGACGACCTGTGGAGCGAGAATCAGGAGGAGTGGGAGAGGCTGCGGCTACTCCTCAAGGACGGCAAAGCGCGGCAGCAAGATCATAGTGACTACACGGAACCTGAAGGTTGCCATGATGGTTCGCACGGTGGCGCCGTTCGTGCTCGAGGGTCTCTCGGACGACGACTGCTGGGAGGTATTCAGGTACAAGGCATTCGAGGAAGGGGACGAGAATTTGCATCCCAAGCTGGTCAAGGTAGGCAAAGAAATTGTTCACAAATGTGGCGGCGTGCCATTAGCAGCGAAGGCTCTTGGGAGCATGTTGAGGTTCAACAAAAATGAACACTCATGGGTGGCTGTCAAGGACAGTGAGATATGGCAGATGGAGAAGGAAGAGACTATCTTGCCATCTCTGAAACTTAGCTACGACCAGATGGCACCTAGTGTGAAGCAGTGCTTCGCTTATTGTTCGGTGTTTCCTAGGAGCCATGAGATTGACAGGGACAAGCTTATTCAGCAATGGGTTGCTCTTGGTTTCATTGAACCTACAAAGTATCGCAGCGAATCACTTTTCGATAGAGCGGATGACTGCTTTGAGCACTTGTTGTGGATGTCATTCCTTCAGGAAGTGGAGGAGCATGATTTATCAAAAAGGAATTAGAAGAAGACGGCAATGTCAAGTATATGATTCATGAATTGGTGCATGACCTTGCACAATCTGTTGCAAGGGATGAGGTTCAGACAATCACTTCTAACCAGGTTAATGGTCACACTGAAGGATGCTGTTATGTATCACTGGCTGATGACATGGGAGCGCCTGAAGTTATTCAGAGCATGTTTCGCAGAGTTCGTGCCTTCCATTCATGGGGATATAATCTTGACATCAAGCTGGTTCTTCAGTCCAGGTGTTTGCGCGTACTGGATTTGGGAGGCAGCCCTATTATGGAGCTTCCCCAAATGGTTGGCAAACTGAAACACCTAAGGTACTTGGATGTTTCTTCATCCCCAATCGAAACTCTGCCCAATTCCATCAGCAGCCTCCACAATTTGCATACTCTGTACCTATCCAATTGCAGCAATCTCTGTACTCTTCCCATGTCCATATGCAACCTTCAAAATCTAGAGACCTTGAATCTTTCAGCTTGTAGCCCCCAAAACTTACCAGATTCGATTGGGAATCTCCAAAACCTGGGAAATCTGAACATGTCATTTTGCAATTTTCTTGAGACATTGCCAAACTCCATTGGTAAACTCCAAAACTTGCGGACCTTGAATCTAAAAGGTTGTGGTAAGCTCCAAAGTCTCCCTGATGATATATGCAGCCTCCAAAATTTGCATTTTTTTAACCTTTCACAGTGTGGTATTCTCCAAGAATTGCCCAGAAATATCGGTAACCTCTCAAATTTGTACCACCTGAATTTATCACAATGCAATGATCTCAAGTCAATCCCAGATTCAATACGCCGGATAAGACGGTTGCATACTTTGAATATGTCTCATTGCAGCAGTCTATCAGAAATACCAGTATCTATTGGAGGCCTTAAAGAGCTTCAATTTCTTATTTTGTCGCATCATTCAAGCAGTTTATCACTTCCTATATCAACCGGCCATCTACCAAACTTGCAGACGTTGGATCTCTCCTGGAATATTGGTCTGGAGGAATTGCCTGAATCAATCGGCAATCTTCATAATTTGAAGATCCTGATCTTGTTCCAGTGCTGGAGTCTTTCCAGGTTGCCTGACTCTATATCCAACCTTGTGATGTTGGAAAGTTTGAACTTTGTTGGATGCGAACAGCTGACAAAGTTGCCTGATGGCATAATAAGCATCAGCAATCTAAAGCACCTGAGAAATGACCAATGCTCAGCTTTGGAGAGACTGCCTCATGGATTTGGGCAATGGACAAAACTTGAAACATTGTCCCTACTTACGGTAGGTGACAAAAATAGCAGTATTGCAGAGCTAGAGCACCTTAATGTTTTAACTGGTCAGCTGAGAATTGAATGCCAGTCACCCATGAAGGATCCGTCAACTGATGCCATGAGAGCAAACTTAAGGAAGAAGAAAAAATTAAGCAGCTTGACCTTGTCATGGACCAGGTCTTGTTCCATTGAAGAACTGATGAGTGCTGAAGCATTTCTTGAAGTCCTCATGCCACCTGAAAACCTCGAAGTTTTTGAGATAGACGGTTATCTGGGCACTAAATTTTCCAGTTGGATGATGAACAGCATGGAACTGTTGCTTCCGAATCTTGTTTCCATCAGTTTCAGCAACATTCATCATTGTAGTTGCCTTCCGCACCTTGGCCATTTTCCGCATCTACAGTCTCTTCAGCTCCGCCACATTACCGGTGTTCATAGCATGGACTCTCAAATGCCTGTAAAAATAAACCAAGGTACTCTATACCGATCGTTGAAGGAACTCCACTTTGAAGACATGCCCAACCTGGAGATTTGGCTAACATCACCGGTAACCGATCACAAGGACAAAGAACCAGACCTATTCAAGTTTCCTGTTCTTAAAACTGTCACTGTAACTGAATGCCCAATGTTGACACCACAGCCGTGCCTGCCTGATGCGATAGCAGATTTGTCGGTGTCCGGCAGCAGCTCGATGTTATCAGTTGGTAGGATCGCCGTACCACCATCATCGCTTCTGAGGAGATTATGGATTAAAAACTGTCATGTTTCTTCTAACGAGTGGAGGTTGTTGCGGCACAGACCAAAGCTCGAGGACCTAGTGATCGAATACTGTGAGAGGCTGCATGTTCTGCCCGAGGCCATCCGGTCCCTCACTAACCTGCGGAGTCTGAAGATTCTAAATTGCTGGGAACTGAAAGCCCTTCCGGAATGCTCGGTGAACTTGCGACACTTGAATCTCTGGAGATACGCTGCTGTCCCAAGCTGGTTTCACTGCCCAAAGGTTTGCAGGGCTTGACTGCACTGGAGGAGCTGACCGTCACTGGGTGCAGCCCTGATCTGAACGAGAGGTGCACAAAAGCTACAGGCAGAGATTGGTTCAAGATATGCCATGTTCCAAGTATCATTGTCTCATAAGGCTCTGTTTGGCAACTTTGTAATGTTTCTACTTTCTACAGCTGAAATTTGTTACACCTTGCACTAGTTATCCCTCGTACAGACAGTAAAAGCAAACGGTGGTGGTCAAAATAGCATTGGGAACAATGATGTGAAATTGATGTCAGTTTGGGTAAATGATAGAATTCCCTGTGCATCATAGACAAAGACCAGATGATGAGATGAAACACACACACCTCACACCTATCATAGACAAGACCAGGAGCGACTCCACTGTATATCATATTCCTGCTTACTTGCTCGCCTTCTAATAGTTGTTATTAGAGTGTACTAAATTAAAGGCAAATGTTTCTGATTATTGTGAGAATTTTAGATTTTTTTTCTAGCGTGTCTGGTGAAAATTAATATGGAGTCTTCATCAAAGCCTCTAATTAGTAACTATAATAAGATAGGATTTTAGATACTTCAATAAAAATTACATCTAGTATTGGACGGAGGTAGAAGTTATTACCTTTATGAGACAATGATGCTTGGAACATGGCATATCTTGAACCATTCCCTGCCTGTTTCTTTTGTGCACCTCTCGTTCGGACCAGGGGCTGCACCCCGGTGATCGTTGGCTCCTCCCGTGCAATTCAAGCATTAATCGCAAATCTTTCGGCAGCTAAACTGTGAGAGAAGGCCCCGTGTGCGGCCGGAATTCATCGCTACCGACCAGTCATCGTCCCCGTGAACCAAACAGCAGCCCGGTTCAACCAATTATTTAATCCAAACAGCGGCAGTCATCGTCCGAACCTGGCAGGAATGGTTCCATGCCGGCCGGACTGATGGTGACGCCTCCACCAACCAAACACGCTGTTCATCCCCGTGAACGTCCGCGACAGGAAGCTCGAGACGGCGTCGAGGTTGTCAAGGTCGCACTTCTCCTTGGTCGCACTCACGATCGGCTGGACCAGCAGCGTCCGGAGGCTGGAGTCGCCGGACATGGAGACCCAGATCCGGGGGTCGAACACCTCGTCGTTGGCGCGACGGTCGTTGAACACCAACTGCGCGAGCGCCAAAGCCGACGATAGGGATCACGGACACGTCCTCGTCGCTGGCGGCGTCGAGGACCAGTCGCATGAGCTTCTCCTTGTCCCCAGCCCGCCCAACCGACTTGGACTCACCGACCTTGGATGTCTCGCACAAATTTGTGAGTGCGCGACGAAATACGTGTTGGCCTAAGAACGCCATGCAATGCAATTGTTGTTGGAGCATCCACCAAACACTCCGCCGTAGCTTCTGGACTCCTACAACTGTAAGATTTCAGAGTCTAACAACTATACGAAGCATAACGTTTCCTTCCTCACCTGGCAACCATACCACACGAATAATAGATAAGTCCCACTTTCATTAATGACATCTAATGAGTTCATACAAGACTTGGAATACAGTCAACATCAAAACTGAAAATAGGCACTCCTACATACACTTATCTGATATCAAAATGCCCCCAAAACTTGTCAAGTCTCAGAGTAAACGTCCTTCAAAAATATTCTTCATTGGAACCTATTTAAGCCCCAGGGCGCTTATACAACATCTTCTAAATAAATGGCAACCACAAATGAAAGAATGGCGACCAGCCACCAGTACCTGATGGCCCGTTGATAACAGTAGTATACAAATCTTGCTTCACAAAACCTATGTTGCCACAACCTAGCTGCTTCAATGGCGACCAACCACCAGCAACTGATAGTCTGCAGTAGCATACAAATTTTGCCTCCCATCTTTAATGCCACCACCTAGCTGCTTGAAGGTCACAAGACTTTGCAGACTATTCTGCCTATGCTTTAGCTGAGTTTCTCCTAGCTCTACTAACAACAGATTATGAGCTATAACATAAACTGGGTCACAATCTATTATCTGCTGTATCCAGATGGAGGCCTCCGGTTTGAACTTCTGTCTAGAGCACCATAACGGTTCTGTGGTTGCTGTCACCTTGAATCAGCCCTTGTGGGTGGTGGCCTGCCTCCGTAGGGCCCTTGCCCAGCATACGAACTATATGATTGTTGCTGCCACTGCTGGCCTCCGCCATATGGAGGGGGTTGGTAGCCTCCACCATGGACCCCAGGATATGCTGACAGAGGTTGCCCATACAATCCAGGACCCGGTGGATACATGTTGCTCTGCTGGTACCCATATGCAGGTGGAACCCTGCCTCGTGTATCATGAAGACCATCTCTTGCATATGTGTGAGATTGTTGCCTTCCATGGTTACCTTGTTCATATTGCGAAGGCCCTGACCTTTCATATTGATAATGACCTGATCCTGATGATGCATAAGCTGGTGGTTGACCATTTGATACACTACCCCTAGGAACATACCATCCAGGAGGTCCAGCAGACTGCCCCACTCGTGGAGGCATGCCTTGATTGCTGACAGGGGGCACTACATTCAGATGGTGCAAGCCATTCATTATAGTTTGATATGGCATTGATGTGCCACTATGTTGCCCCCTACCCTGAGCATTTAAGCTGTTTATGACAAGTCGGTGAGCTGCCTCTCCAAGTTGACGGCCTGATATGGCACCAGGTGGGTTTTGCCTAAGAACCATTTTACAAGATCAGGATTTTCAGTTAGCCCACAGAAACATTAAATAAAAAACAAAAAGGGTGATGAAAAACCTGTTGCTATTATCATGAGGCCGCCGGCCACTATCTTCATGCCACAGCACTGGAGGTGGTTTCAGATCACCAGCTTCAACAGTCTGCAGAGAAGATTGAACAGAGTCCTTATTAACAGCTAATATCATGATGCTTATGCCACACAGCTAGACACTAAAATACAAGTTTCAAACCTTCTTGGGTATGATAACACCAACTGGCGGACGGGCTATGTGCTTATGATGATCTGGAAGCTTGTAGATTGAGCATCTGGTTGATACCAAATCCAAAATTGTTCAATATAGCAATAAAACAAGTACCAAAACATGTCAAGCAAAGGGGTTAAGCTTACATCACTTGATTGTCCATAATATCCTCCAGCCCATCCACAGGAGACCTGAAGATAGGAGGGCATGGATCCCCACTGCAAAGTGTTATGTAGCCATTCATTCCTCCACTGTACAAAATAAGAGCAGGTGTTAAGATATCTGGAAAAAAATTCTCTTAGCACATGTAGAAATCAGCCACATTTTCTCAATTAACTAGCAGGCAAACTGGTTCACTGCTCTTTTAATCATTATCCCCAACCCCTTCCCCACCAGTCCACACAACAAAAGAAAGCGTCAGTACAGAAATATCAATACAGACACACTTAACAAAATAGTATTAATTGTCAATCAACAACAGTCCTGATTGAGCTTAGCTAACCTAGCAGAAGGATCAAGCTTTTCTTTAATTTCATTTCTCTTTTTGTCAGGCAGATGTCCAAATTTGCTGTTGAGAGAGTAGATATAAGGCGAAAGTGGATGTGAGCCATTCACAAAAACATATCAAACATGATGCTGTTTCTCCTTGCTTCTTCAGGCTACACAGAAGATGACAAAAACAAAGGAAATCTTAGAAGATTTTATTCATTGTGCCTTGTAATGCATAAATGAATTGCAAATTGTTTCATCACCATACTGTCAAAGTATGCTCAACTTTTTTTATCTCAGCCAACAAGCGAGCTTCATCGATAAACGGTAGTTTTGCAATCCCCTGAAAAACATATATTACAGTTTAGACAAGTAGATGTGAAAAATACAAATGTGCTCTTTGAAGGGCAACTTGCCAAGAATATCTCTTCCCATTCAATATCTACTTCAAAATCTGCATAGTAAATGGGATCATGAATCAGAAAACAGCTAATATCAAAGATATGATAATATAGAGCACATCACATTAACAAAATGAGCAAACCTGTAGGATAAAAATCAATTATTGGTGAATTTGGATCGGTCATCAATCGACGATACTGTAGTGGTAGCGCATGGGCACTGAAATGAAAAATTAATGTGACAGCTGTTAAAATTACTTTTGCACCATTGAAGGCCTTATTAAAAAAACAATCGCAGTATATTCACCTTGCAGCTGGGAAAACACCCATAAGTTGATCGAAAGGTTTGAATGGTGTCCCAAGTTCAAATTTAATATTAAGTTGGCCCAATCCACTTAAATCCGAAGCAAACGGAGCATAATGATAAGGGTAGAACCTACATATACCAACGAGATTTTAGAGAATGTGATACAGCGAGAAAGAGTAATCAAGCCTGCCAAATGACAAATGAACCTCTGCATAATTTGATATATTTGGCTAACTTGAGCAAGCTAAATTACCATTGCCATGAGCAGACCCCTTCATAGTAGTAGTGCATTACCCAACACAATCCTTCAGTGTATTTGAGAACCTAAGAGATAGCATCTAATAAGATTAGAAGCAGGTCGCAATAGCAGCATTCTTTAAAAGGAAGCAAACATGCTATTCTCTCAAAGCAAGTAAGAACAGCAGCAGCAGCAAAGCCATTAGCCCCAATCGCAAGCTAGTTGCCTACGCCAAAAGTCCACAGAAGTACTGTAACAATAAATATTTCATCATGCCACTAGTGAGAAACTTACAACATCTCTGCGTATTTTTTCAATCTGCTCAGGTGTTCTTGCCCCAAATTTCTCTTCATAGTACCTTTCCCTCCATCCTGGTTCTCCAAGTTTCACCTGAACATAACAAATGTTAACGTTTCATAGTTTTAAACATGTATGGTGTGAAATCACTAATGAATTAATGCATTTAAATTTCACAGTAGGTTATTGTTGTCCAAAATTTGGGGCTACATTTTTTAATAAAAATGAACACACATAGGGCATGCTTTGTTGCAACCTTGGACTAAACTGCCTGGGTAGAAGACCTGCCTGGACTAGTCCTGAGTTTTTGTGCCTGGTATGAAGACCTGGCGGTGTAAGCTGCCTGGGTTCCAGGCCGAGGAAATGGGGCACCTGGGTGGGAGGCACTGCCCCAGATCCCATCTGCCTGGACTATAATCGACTCCCTCTCTACTAGCATAGGGTTCTCCTTGGATGAGAAAATTTTCATGATTCATTTTCATGATTCAGTAAGTGGAGTTTGAGACTACAGTAGAATGAATGAATGATTCTTGAGTTTGCAGATCTGGTGACCATTGGCTTCTCCACCAGCTGAATCTTGCTTCTCTCCATTTGCCACCATCTGCAAACGCCGTGCTAGAGGTTTCTTCTTCATCAACACCCTAAATCATCCGCACAATTCAGGAATCTGGGCCATGTTAGAGGTAACTCCCTCACTTCTCCATACGAATCAGCAATTTGGGCTTCTAGGAGGGCTTCTTGCTTTGATCTGGCATAGCAAGATGAGGGCAGGATCATCTTTTTCTATTGTTTCATTTCTTTTCCTCCTAACTTGTTTTGGACTATGCAAGGTTCTGAATAGAACTTGAATGAGTTTATTACTAACTGTAATGCAAGTTTTTGCTATTGTTTATGTACTTGCAGAATTAAACGTGAGTTGATTGTTCCATTATTCTCAAAACGTTCAGTTATAACATTAAAACTCAAGGTCTAATATATATTACTGAGTGCTTACTCAACCAACAATATCTGGAGTTCTTTTTCCATAAAATATTTGGTTTGGTTGTTTCTCATACTGTAAAATGCCTCAGACATCTGCCATGAATGTGTTGCAAATGGGATGTTTTATTTGGTGGCAGTCTCACCACACTTCTAAACAATGGTCAGTGCAACCCTAGGCAACTAATGAACCGAACACTGCCTGTCTTCTATCCGCTAAGGCTGTATCCAGGGCTTCAACCAAAAGGTGCCAAGAATTCTGGATCTGTCTGGCCAGGCAATTTTGCAATTGGTGATAGGAAGCTCACACGCAGATCAAGTACCCAGGCAGCTAGTCCAGGGTCTCTAGTGCTTCTAGTAATCAATGGTGATCAGCAATATTTAGTAATTTACAATGCACACCTAGTTGAACCAGCTTCAGTGTTCACAAATAACCAGTGATTTAGAAGACATACCTTATCCTCCTCTGGATTGTCAGAATTAAAAATATCTGATTTCTCGCGAAGTGCATCTTTAAGCATTGACTTCAGTTCTTTGTTTTCACGTTCCTAACAAAGTCATCAAGAATGTCAGGTGAAAATGCAAGAAGTATTTGTTGCAAAGTACATTTGAGATCTTCTCAAGCCATATGGGAAGAATTACTTGGGCTTCAAGGTCATTTTCAGGTTCAACTATGGCTGCAGAAATGCTGGAACCTGACGTTGATACTCGTGCAACTTTCCGAGCTCGACTGTTCCTTTCTTTATTGTCTCTATGGGATCCATTCTGCTGATATGGCACAGGTACAGCCCCAGAGGCTAGGCGAGACCCTTGAAAACGTTGAACAGGTACAATAAGGTCATCCCTAACATGGGGATCCAGATCATCACCCCGCTTAGCTTGAGCTTTGTCCCGTTTTATTCTTTCCGCTTGACGCTACAACAGAGTAATATGATTGCAAATTGTAAGTGAAAATGCCTAATTCTTATTCAAATTTTTTTGACAGTTGACCAGAATAAAAGCAGAAAAAGAAGGTTTGCAAACGTTTTTGCACAGGAGTTCAAACTGCTTTTTACAAATGCTTTAGATGAGTTCCAGGTCATACATGCAAAGGGACATGCACAGCTAACCACTACAAACGTGCTACTCTGCAAGTAAAATTCATGACTAATATATCCAAATTCTCCAACACAGAAGAAAACCCCCTTTTTTGTTCTACTACATGGTACCAGTACAGTTAGAAATTTGAACGTGTAGGAAACGTTAAAGTCAAAAAGGGACTAACTGCTTCGCTAATTGCTCTTGTTTGTTTCATCTCTAGGCTAACCCAACTTGCTTGGGAACAAAAGGCTTTGTTGATTGCTAAGAGAAACAAATCAATAATCATCCTTGTGTACCTGATGCAAACAGGCTCTTTTCTGAAATATTTTATCCTCATATGAACCAACTGCTTGAATGAAGTGCTCAACTCTGCTCAGATCAGGCTACATCAGCAAGAAGCAAGTTAATAATTTAATACCATTGTGGATCAATTGAAATGATAATAATTTCTGAATCTGTCCAGCACCAACTGTCCAACTCCAACAGAAATGAACTTTGATTACCGTGCAAGAATCAGTTAAATATCCACCCATTGAGGGAAATTCCTTCTTGTACACTGCCATTAGCAAATTAATAGCTCCCTGAGAAAACCAGAACATCAGTATGACAAATTTAGGAGTGAACTGCAAGCATCTAGAGGAACTTACATACAGAAAGTTAAAGAATAAAAAGAGACCCAGTGTAGCAGCAATTGGAACTTAAAGGTACTAGGTGCAAAGATGGATGCTCAGTCAAACAGTGGGGCACAAACAGGAACAAACCTCACGGATCTCTAGCGTCGGCATATGTGGAAGAAAATCGTTGCCAACAAAGAAGCACATGAAGATAAAATCATCAACAATGCGTTCAAAATCAATTTTGAAAGGTGGGTTTGGCATTCTGAACTAGTATTCTAAGTATTTCCGCAGGGTCCATATATTCAAGAACTGCACAAGCACAAAAATAAACACAAAGGTATTTAGTGAACTCATCAAGATGTCTTATGAAACCACATGTTACAACAGACAAATAACCTGGTAAGGCTTCTTGGGAACAATAGCATCACCCTTCTCATCAAACTCCCCAGCTTTTCTTTTCACCTTTCCTTCACAGTTTGCTGCTAGATGTCCCACCTGACCACACAAGAAGCATTTATCCTGCTGTCCAGGTGTATAAACTACCTGCAAAAAAAAAAAAGTGAGCCATTGAGCATAGCATAAACAAAAGGAATAACAATGCAGGGACAGCTGATAATATATATTCTTTAGACAAAAAGTAACATACTTCCTCTGGTTCCATAATTCTAGTTGTATTGGACAACAGTTTCTAAAACATAGTTTGACTATGATTTTCTACTATAATATATACAAAAATCAACAGATATACAATTTTATTAAAGTATGTTTTAAGACTAATCTATGCATGTTGGTTTAGTGTCTTAAACTAAATATTGTAGTTCTTGAGTCAAGTTCGAAAAGTTTGACTTCAGCCTTGTCCAAAACAGCAAGAATTGTGAAACTCTAGGGAGTAGACGACAGGAGAACATAGAACAAACTAAAAAAATCTTGAACAGGGACAATAATATGTATAAGCATTTAAAAGTATAGTCCACACTGAGGAAAGCTAACCTCTCTCAGTATTGAGAAATGTACTTCATGTGTCGCCAAAGCTAGCATGATCAGATCTGCGTCCTGCAATTTATGGATACACAATGCTGCATTAACAGGGCTAGAAGATAAAATAAGCTACATTAAAAATAATATAGGTTTGTCAAACATACCAGGTCGTACAGGCAATGGCGCGTATTTGGGTTAAAGCCAGACAGATTCCGTTGGCTGCGAATATATGACATGATTTTATGTTCCCCTTCACCAGGAACATTGGCATCAGACAAAATAACCTTCAAAAGACCTTAATTAGAACATAAATGGCTTTACTGCATTCAGGCTTTCTGAGGTTAGTGGCAGCCTTTCTCAATAAGGAATGAAGGAGACTAATCTAAACCATTGGTAGAAAATAGAAACTTAAATCAGTATCAACTCATACTTACTTTAATTTGTTTCCATCCAGGATCATAATTCAATCTAAGATGGATGTAATACTGCAAAGCAACTGATAAAACAGCCATAAACTCAGTCCCTGGAGTAATAACATTTGAATCACATGTTTGTGATTGCTGTTTTGGAGGAAGTTTTCTGCCTTCCCTCTCAAACTCTTCATGTAGCCGTTCTTCTTCTGCAGCCTGCGGGCATAGGAATATTGAGCTGTGATTGCAATAAAATGGTTGCATTGCAACTGCGAAAAATACTGAGCAAAAGGATAGTACACAATCATACACAGACCAAAGGAAGATAGTTTCGGTAGAATACTGACAGCATCAGCTGCATCTTTTGCAGCTCTGAATCGTCTAGAGCGCTGCTGGTTCATCTTAGCACGAGGAGCAACACCATCTGTAAAGCCATTGTACCACAGTTAAAATTATGAGCAGCAATAAATCAAATATGATCACAGGTATAAGAACTACATTGATCATTGAATTTAGAGGACATGCTCATTCCAAAAGAGCAGACATGAATTATTACATATGAGAACAAACATCCAGAAGGTACAAACGCTTACATAGTTATGACAAGGTAATCCACATGTACATAGTATACATAATAAAAATACACAGAATCATGACTTCTACATGATCATAAAACTACAGAAACTCTGCTACACACAGCAAATAAATAAATAGGTGGAAGTGCAATAAAATTTCCTCCGCTATGGGCATATTCCACGTACCAATGGCCATGTACAAAAGCTTCCGGGGGCGAACCATGACGAATAGTCTGTCGATATAATCAAACATGCACTGGAAAACCTCACCAAATGTTGTTGGGGAGGGCTACAGAGAAAACCATGGTCAACATTTAAATCAGCAAGCAAAAGCAAATGACAGTTAAGTTAATGTTACATGTTTTTACAGAGAATAAAGCAAACAGTTCCAATAAAAACGTATTGATGTTTTTTTATTGTATCGATATCTTTTTCTTTCTTCCTCTCTGGTTTGTGGCTGATGTTGAGGCAGCTGCCACTACTCCTTTCACTAAAACTATAGATATTAACATAACACCATACAGTCTGCTAACTGAAATTGACCCAAAATCATCGACATAAATAGCTCCAAAAAGGCAACTATTTGTTGGTAATTTGCTTCCATTGCAGTTTAGCAGACAAACAGAATAAATCTGTACAATTCAGCTAAACATTACTTTGAAAAATGGAATGAATTGCAACGATCTCAATGTATCTGACTGGAAAACAATTTAACAGATCCTTTCTCTAGAAGCAATCAGATTACTGGCAGAGCACAAGCTAAAATAACCAATTCCCTCCTCCAACTTCTCACTAGTCACTACTCAATAGTGACCAATCACAAACCTACCTGGTTACCGCAAACGCAACTAGCCGGATTACCGCAAACGCAACTAGCCGGAGTACCGCATACCCAAATAACCCCAACCATCCGCTCTCCAACGCCCAAAGCAACCCAACCAATAGGGAGGAGAGGGGGGAGGAAGGAAGTCGCACTTACCCTGTCCTCCGGGTGGAAGCAGGGGTGTATGATTCCGTTCATATCGAGGTAGAGGTTGTCGAACTCGAGGCCGTTGGGGTTGGGCTTAGAGGTGTCGACGGGAACCTTGACGCCCTCGATCTCTACGGGCTCCTCCTCCACTACGTCCACCACCACCATCGGGTACTTCTCCGCCAGCCACCGGTAGAACGCCGGGACACCCATCTCCGCTGCTGATGCCGCCGGCGCGAGCAAGGCCTCGCCGGAGTAGGAGCACGCGGGAGACGGAGGGGAGAAGAGGCGCGAAACCCTAACGAAGAGGGGACGGTCACTGTTGGGCCGGGCTCTCAATCGAGCAACTTCTGACGAAGAATTTGTCTAAATTGCGATGACGTCAGCGGTCAGCGGGATTTGATGGAGAGTTTGTGTGTGTGAGAGAGAGTAGGGGTATGGAAACAGGAGCTCTTTCGAATAAAGGAACATAAAACAGTTAAGCATTAAGCATAGATAGAAGTAAGGCCCTGTTCCGATAAAAAAAAGGAAGTAAGGCCCACCATCTCTAAAGTTTAGATGTAAACCTCCAAATAGGTACTCTAAAATTAGAGATAAACTTAAACCCACCCCCTAAAAGTCCATTAGAGCATTAGACCAAAAATATGAGCTAAAGTGCTCTAAACTTTCGTTCTCCCTCGCTAAAAGACACTAAGTGTAGCAAGAATGATTGATTGTTGATCTCAAAGTTTTTTTTTTTCTAAGTAAAGTCGAGATACATTGTAAAATCTATACACAAAAAAGTCAAATCGACTTATAGTTTAGAACAGAGGGAATAGTGAATAAAATTTCAAAGCTGCCCCTTTAGCTTTCATTCGTGGCTATTTTTTCTTAGTTTTTCGTTTTTCTTTTCTTTGCCTTGTATTTTGCTCTTTTTTATTAATTTTGTTTTTGTTTAACTGTTTCTTATTTTTATTATTTCATAGTATTTTTTCTTGTATCTATGATTTTGTGCTAATATTTATGTGAACTACTATTTATAGTGCAATAATACTATTCTTATAGTATATAGTAGATTCTAACTCATAGTATTCTCCAGATGATGTTCTATGATGTATTCTGGATTTTTTTAAACGCTCATGTTCCACAAATGGTGTTTTTAATGTTCTTACTAGTAACTTGCTCATGCGTTGCAATGCAACGTATACCTTGTAGCGTACTCATCTAAATGACTTGTTGCTAAGAGATTTATGTAATGGTCACATACACACAAATAAGCAAGGTTTGTGAGTCTAAGTCCAAAATAAGACAATGAGAGATGTAAGGACATTGTAGGAAGTAAAAAAGATGGAAGAGTCATTTTACCCTTTAATATTAAGTATAGATATAGATAATAGTTGTGAGGTAGTTTATGATGTATTTTGAATTGTTTACATAGTATCAATGGGATGTGCACGCTCTACTTTCAATTGTTCACACAATAGCCATGAGATAATCTATGTTTTTTGTTTACATAGTATCCATGTGATGACAGCATATTTCAATTGTTCCCGGTATTCATGAAATGTTCTCTTTTCTACTTACAAAATAATGGGCACAATAATTGTGAATATCATTCCCTACATATTATTCTTCTAAATCTATAGTATTGTTTTTAATTGGATTTTTATTCTTCTAAACTAATATTTCATTTATTCAATCTTTCATTTATTTTGCTTCTAAATCTATAGTGTCGGTGTTTTGAGTAAACACCAACGAGTAAATTTGTATATTGCGCGTCTGATCCGGATGGTGTGCTAAAAAGACACAAGGGTTATACTGGTTCGGGCTGAATGTCCCTACGTCCAGTTTCGGGCTGCTCATGTTACCAGCACTGAGTTTATAGTAGGGGGTTACAAATAGGTGAGAGAAGAACATATCCTAAGTCTCTGATGGAAAGATCAAATAGGTGCCAAGAGCTCTTTCGCTACTCAGTTATGTGTTCGAGGTTTGATGCTAGTGGTTCTGTTGTGACACGGTATGATATGCGATATGGTGAACTGATGCTCCTTAGTGGGACGCCCTGCTTTCCCTTTTATAGACCAAGGGAAAGCAGGGGTTACAACCAAGGGGACGAGGAAAAAAAAGAACGAGAGGCAGAGGAAGTCCTTAAGAGTCACCGGTCCTTTCTTTTCCTCCATACGGGCCCTGCTGACATGGTAGGTGGCGGCAGGGATAGCTCCACGCCAAGCGCCTATCCGCTGACACTGCCATGCCCTGGCATTTGTCAACGGGTCGTAACATCCCGTTCCGCCCCGGCGGGCGGTGCGGCGAACCAGCATGTTGATCAGCGGGCGTACAGGGAGTGGGCAACATAGTGACCACGCGTCCGTCACTGTAGGCAATATGAGTTCCCAGGAATGACATGTCGTGGGGACGGGTCATGCTGAGACGTGACCGCTTCCTGCACGATGCCAGAAGTTTGACCTTGGGTAGTCCTTTCTAGCCCGTAGTGGTTGGCGGTGGCGTGAGCTTCCGTTATGAACCGCGTCCGAGGGATCGGGCAAGGCGAAGCCAGCCCTCAGACGTTGGGCGAGGCGGAGCCAACCCTCGAGGGTCGGACAAGGCTGAGCCAACCCTTGGGGTCAGCCGAGGTGTTCCCAACCCACGGTGGTCGGACGAGGCAGAGCCAGCCCTCAGATGTCGGGTGAGGCGGAGCCAACCCTCGGGGGTCGAACGAGGCTGGGCCAACCCTCGGGAGTCAACTAAGGTGTACCCAACCCTCGGGGGTCGGACGAGGCGAAGCCCACAACCTTAGTGTCCACTGAGGTGGGGCCAATCCTCAGGGGTCGGACGAGGCGAAGTCCATGGCCTTGGTGGTTGGACGAGGCGGAGCCTACCAGGAGGTGTAGTCACGCCCTTGATTGCTCTGATGAATTAGCGTTGATGGGCATTAGCTCCTCCCCTTAGGGTACCCTAATATTGATCCCCGACAGTAGCCCCCGAGCCCCTGGGTGATTTGGGTAGAATCACATGGGGATTTTTGACTTGCCAGTGGGTGCGCGTGAGCATGTGGAGGAGTAGAATACTCCTTTGGAGGTTTTTTCGAAAGGGAGGACTCTGAGGGCCTTGGCCTTCCTTTGTCACCCACGACGTATCCTAGGAACGGTGATGTCGAGGTTGCACCTTTCACGAGTATGGCCATGAGATTTGGTGGTTCATTAGCTGGATAGTTCGATTGGGGTTCTGGCATCCCATTCGCGGGGATCCGGCCAGGGTCAGCCTAGCTGAGCCTTGATCGAGGGCCGAGATGCCTATGGCGCTCATGCACCTAAGTACTAGCCACTTGTGGGCCCATCCCTTATCCTAAGGGTGCCTAGAGAGGTTGTCGAACCCATTGATGGGCCTAACCTTTGAACTCCTAGGCCCAGAACGGGCCGGAGAGGTGCTTTTTGATCTATATGACGAGTCACGGCCCGCCTGGGGAGGCAAAACATCCAGGAAGTTTTTGAGGGAAAGGATAGGGATTGCGTGTGCATATCCCATGGTGTGATGTTGTGGCAGATCATTGTAGGCATGGAGATCTAGGCGGACGGTTGGTTTCCTTGCATCCGTCGCCTCTATAAAACCAAAGGGTTTGCCCCTAGGGTTTTATACCTTGCCTCCTTGCCTTCGCATCTACAACCTCCGTCGCCAGTCACCTAGTCTTCCTGTCTTCCGCGTCCCAGCCACCATTGAGTTTGTATCCACCCGCCCCCATCTTCCAATGGATCTGTGGTGCCGCTCTGACATCACCTTCCAACGCATGGAGGGCCTTGTCCGCCGCGGTCTTCTCTCGGTCGCGGACTACGATCGAGGAGTGGCTGCTGCTCGGCGAGGAGGATGTGCCATCACCACCCAACGGCTACGCCATGTCGTTCACACACTTCCATGAGCGTGGGCTCACCACCCCTGCTCACAGGTTTCTTTGGAGGCTACTGCACTACTATAAGATCGAGTTGCAACACCTCAATCCCAACGAAATCCAGCACATGGCGGCGTTCATCGCCCTGTGTGAGGCATTCCTAGGGATCAGTCCCCACTTTGATCTATGGCGGCACTTCTTCGTCATCACCCTCTAGAAGAAGAGAGAGAAGAAGCAGGAGCTGAACACGCTGATGGGATGCGCCAGCATCCACCTTAAGAACAATTAGGTCGATGAGTACCCATCAATGCGTCTGTCGACCTCCAACAAGAGGTGGCATTCGCATTGGTTTTATCTCAAGAACGATGTAGCCCCCCCTGTTAGAGTTCACCGGTGTAAGGTCAAGATGGTGGACTAGAGGGGGGGTGAATAGTCTTTTGTAAAATTAATCGCATCGGCTAACCAAAACAAATGCGGAAATACAACTATCGGTCTAGCCAAGACTACACCCCTCAATATATGTTCTATAGAACCTTGCAAAGATACTAATAAAGCAACTAAGGTGCCGTGCTAGCTAGAGCTCTCCTAAACAATTCTAGGAGCAAGGTCACACAAACCTATGCCACTAGTACTTTAAGTAACAAGGGAGCTCCTACACATGCTAGTAAGCAAAAGCACAAAGCTAACTAAGCTCACTAGCAATGCTCAATAACAAGGCAACCAATGCCTAATTAGAGAGCGCAAATACTTAGCTACACAAACTAAGCAATGTGACTAACAAGGTTACTAAAACCAAATTAGCCACGCAAGGGAGCTACTTCTATGCTACACAAGCAAGAAGGTAATTAGCTAGCTACACAAGCTATCTAATTACAAGAGCAACTACACAAGCTTAAGATATATAAAAGTAATTGCAAGCTTGTATAATGGGGATGCAAACCAACGGGAAGAACAAGGTTGACACGATGATTTTTCTCCCGAGGTTCACGTGTTTGCCAACACGCTAGTCCCCGTTGTGTCGACCGCTCACTTGGTGGTTCGGCGGCTAATTAGCATCACCCGCTAAGCCCGCATGTCGGGCACCGCAAGAACCTATCCCTTGAGTGAGGGTAGCTCAATGACACGCTTTACTAAAGTTGCTCTTCATGACTTCATGGGCGACCACAAGTACCCCTCACAAGCACTTCTCCGAGCGCCGCACAAGCTTCTTGCGGGCTTCGGACGGAGACCACCACCAAGCCATCTAGGAGGTGGCAACCTCCAAGAGTAACAAGCACCAGGACTTGCAACAACGACCACCTAGTGCCACTCGATGCAACCTCACGATGCAATCGCACTAGAATCGCTCACT